GGAACACTGCCTTGGATATCTCAGGCATTCAGTAAAGCCTTGCTGAATGAGCAAATCTTGATATTTTGGACAGAAAAAGAAACAACCCAGATGTTGTTTTTCACATTAGATTTTTTTTTTTTTTTTTTTTTTTTTTTTTTTTTGGCTGTTTTTGGGGTAGTGACGGCGGTGGATGCTGCAGATATCTGGATAATTTTTTTCAAAACTACTATTTATTTTGCCTACATGGAGTTTAAATATTACTAGTGCTTGGTAAAAACTGGTTACTTCAGTAGTCTAGTGTAAAGGATTCCTTTAATGACTGATGTATTGTAAAAGTTACTAGTAGGTTCTTCTTTGAAAATTGTTCCACAGAACTTTAATTTCTACTCTTAGTTTTAAATGGGAGATAATAGTCAAGGGTACAACATTTTACTTAGGCAAGGTGGGTAGTTCCCAGAAATCTACTGTACAGAATAGTGCCTATAGCAACAATATAGGCACTACTATTGTATATTTTAAAATTCACTAAGAGAGTAGATTTATATTATGTTCATACACACACACAATTTGGGAGGAAACTTTTGGAAGTGATGGATATGTTCACAGCATAGATTACAGTGATAGTTTCACAGGTGCATTCTTATCTCAAACTCATCAAGTTGTACACATGAAATAGGTCTACCTTTTTGTATATCAATCATACCTCAATAAAGTGAGATTTTAAAAAGAAAGAAAAGTAAACTAATAGAAACAACTGGCAAATGTAGCATAGGAGAGAATGAAAGGCTTGATGTGTGGCCTTAAGTTGTAATTCCAGCCTTGCTAATGTTAGCTGTGGGATATTAGGCAAGTTGTTGAACCTCTTTGCACCTTAGTTTTCTTGTTTTTAAGAGGAGGATTTTATTCATCATACCTGTCTTCATGCATTAAATGAGATTATATATATACGTAGTCTAGCAGAGTGAGTGGGAAAGAATATTTGCTTAATAAATGGCAGTAATTATTATTGTTGTATAATCGAAATCAAATTTTTAAATATTAAGATGTTTTGATCTTCATTTTGAACATTTTTAATTCATATGTTTATGAATTTTAGGTTCTTCATAGGTTCTGGTTAAAATGCCCTCATAGATCTGAATTTTAAATCTGCTACGTAACTTGCTTGCAGGTTAATGTTTCTGCTTCTCAGTGTTACTATATGGGAACTGGGAAGAAAATTGTATATATCTAAGCACTGTGCCTGGCATGTAGTAAATACTCAAAAATTTTAGCTATTATTCATCCATTCCTTCATTTGAAAAATTTAGAATTTTGATATTTGTGTTTTCACTGAATACTAATAGTTACTTTTCTTAAAATAAACATTTAACTCCTTTTCATGGTGCTTCGAATTTTCCTGTATTTTTATAATTTCTCTGAGGAGATATTGCATAGGTTAAAGTTCATTTTATTGCAGCAAGTTGCATTCATTTATGCTATCCATCCTTTCTTGGTATGTGTGTGTGTGTTGTGTATGTGTATATATATATTTCTATGGAACAATTTTCAATGTTTTTTTTTATTTGCCCACCCCCTGGTGTGTCTTGTGAAAACTAGGATTTGAATTTAACTTTTTGGCATGAAATTCTGACTCATTTCTTGGCCTGCTTGTTTTCCACTTTATTCAAAAACACATTCAGAAGTAAGCCCGGGGTGATGGTGCATGCCTGTAGACCCAGTTACATGGAAGGCTGATGCAGGAGGATGACTTGCACCAAGGTGTTTGAGACTGTAGTGCACTATGATTGCACCTGTAAATAGCCACTGCACTCCTTCCTAAATGATAGTCATTGAAGGTTCTATATGTTTTGTAAGAATATTCTTATGTAGCATATATGGTTCAGCACTTGCCATTTAATGAAGAAGTGTCAAATGGAAGAGTGTGTTCAAATTATCCATTTGCCTCTAATTCTATGATCAGGACACTAGAAATATGTTTCTTGATGATTCCTTTAACTCCTCTACCTTAATTCAAAAATAAGGTAGGGTTTTGAAGTAATTTGAAGATGTCATAAAATAACCTTTTTTGTCTTCTGTATATCTAAACTTTCTAATCAAGTACAATTTAAAAGATCTGATAATATTCTAGTTAATACTTCAATCAATTACAATATTCTGTCAATTCTATCTCAGAAGTGTTTGTCAAAAACACCCTCAGTTCACGCCATGGCTCCTGTCTTAATTTCTTCACCATCTCTCATTAACAGATTGAATGGTTCAAAGTAGCATTTGGGGAGCACCTGCTCAGGGCTGGGGATATGATGATCAGAGATCAATGCCATCTCTGCCTTCATGGAACTTCTACTATCCCTTTTGTTGCATTAGGCTTTTCCCAACTTTCAGCCCTCACCTCATCCCCCTTCCACATTAGCTTCTATAGCATCTCTACCCAGTTTGTTTTTTTACAACCTTTCAATGGTCTTCATTGACCAAAGGTTAAATTCCAAATTCTTTACCATACATAAGGGCTTCATAATATGCTTCTTCTGGCAAACTTCTTGACACTGAAATACCTACCATTTCCCACATGTAGTCTTTGAAGACTCAATTCAGAACTCACTTTCTTCATTGCCTTTTCCATCTTCCTTTGGCTGGGTTAGTTTGTTCTATGAACACTCACAATACTTTAGATAGACTTCCCCTACAGTAGTCATGGTATCCTAAATATTATTCTTCTCTCATTTGATCATGAACAAATGAATGAAACCCCTAAATATAACCACTCTGATAAATGGTTATTTTCATATCTAAAGGAATTTTGATATAATTTTGATATTTGTGTTATCTAAAGGAATTTCTAATTCATTCTTTCATCACATGCCTGTTAAGCATTGGTTGTAAGTCTGGGACTCTGTGGGGACTAGATAGAAAAACCCTGCAGATGTGTTCTCTGCCTTTACTGTTACTACTTTGTGAATAAGTTAAAACAAGTAGTACTTTCTGGTAAGTTCTTTGGGGTAATTATGCTTTGGAAAGCTGTGGGTGTTAAAGACTAAAAAAAGTTAAATGATAGGAAGCTTGTCTGGCTCTGACTAGTTTGTGGTGGTCTAGAGCTTCCTCAGCCAGTCCCAAGGTCCAGTCATCATGGTCTTGAAGAAAGTGACATCCACCTGGGGATAATTTCTATGTATTCATTGGGCAGTTCATATAGTTTTTGGTGATAAATCGTAGGCAAGAACCAGTGGGAAAGAAGGTTCTTTTTTTTTCAGATATCCTTTCCTTTTAATTCTTGTTTTCCTCAGACAAATTTAATGGACATAAGACTTGTGGGTTTTGGAGTGAATTTTATGTTTACATTTTAATAAAAGTATTTTCCCCCTCCCCACCCTTTCACCTTTTCTCCTCCTACTCCTCATTCCTCTTCCTCCTCCTCTTCTTCTTTTCCCTCCCCTCCCCCTCCCTCCCTCCCTTCCTCCCTCCCTCCCTCTCTTCCTCCCTTCCTTCCTTCCTTCCTTCCTTCCTTCCTTCTTTCTTCCTTCCTCCTTTCTTCCTCTTCTCCCTCTCCTCCTCCTCTTCTTCTTTCTCTTTTTCCTTTTCTTCCTCTTCTCCCCCTCATCCCCTTGTCCCCCTCCTCTTCCTCCTTCTCTACCTCCTCCTCCTTTTTCTTCTCCTATTCTCTCTCTCTGAAACCATTTTTTTTTTTTTTTTTTTTTTTGCCCCTCCATCTCTTGGTACTGATTACCATGTTAAGGGCATAGAAGGCTTTACATAATAAGACAGGATGACAATCTCTTTGCTGGTCAATTTTATTTTCATATTGTGTAAGTGTATACACAAGATGCAAAAGAGACTACAGAGTTAATCAAGAAAATAATTGATTTCCCAGATTATAAAAATGTCTGGACTTTGTATTCAAAGCAAAAGACAGGGATTTTTGAAAATGTAGGGTTTTTGTGAGTTCGTTTTTTAAGCATTCTTCTGAGATAGAGGAGGAAAAAATTACTTTGTGAGTTGGAAAGACAATGCTGTATCTTCAAAGTGTAAGACTTACTTTTAAGTGGTACTGTTCATATTGCAGTTCACATTGCACACATGTTCCTCATAGTGTGTATTCAGTAGAAGTTTTTTTTTGTTTTTTTTTTTTGTTTTTTTTTGCTTCCAAACCACGTATTGGAAGTAAAACTCCTTGGATTCCGTAGGTTGCATAGTTAAGTTATTGAAATATGAACTCCCAGAAATAGTGGGCTTATAAATGTATATTGTACATTTTTCATGTTAACCAAGAGATTTTTGAAGTCTAGTCTACTCTGCATATACTTTTAGGACCATAATAATCAGATATAGATATATATGCTTGAAGTGAAATTGTGGGAAGCTATGGATTTCACCGTCTTTAGAGATGTATCACATACTTTCGTCCAGAAATAGGTAGCGTGCCCTAGAAGTATGAGTTATTCTCATCCTTTACCTCTGTGGGTTAAAAACCACAAAGTTGAAATATAGTCTGCAAGATATACTGAAAATATATGTGTGAAGCAGTGCTAAACTTAATTGATATGTGGAGACATATATAAAACATACAGCCACTAGACTGAGAAAATGAAAATTAGTGTACGAACATTTTAGTTAATGCTATGCTTTGCCTCAAAGCCTGGTGTTTATTATTATGTGCTTTTAGTAGGAGACAGAAGCAGTACCAATTGGAAAAACATTTCTTAGTGGATTGAGAACAGTATAGCTTTCTAGTTCCTAAGTGGGCAACCTGGTTCTTTGGTTTCTTTGTTCCTAGTTAGGCTTGTCCCCAGTTATTTCAGCTGAACATTTTACATACTAATGGAGTCCAGGGAAGTGTATTTGGCAGCTGTTCATGGGATAATAATGAAATACACTATTTAGTACTGTATGCTGCTGCTGTAAAGTGTGGGGGGTATTTTATAGAGAACTTGGTGAACAGAGCTGTATCCACTTTAAATAGTGTGTGAACCTGAGTGAGGAAGTTGTATTTTCATGTGAGAATAACTAGTACTCTTTTCTTACAGGTAAAGAAAACGTGCACGGAATCAGATGTTTCAGAATCTCAGAATTCCAGGTACAGTAAAATAAAGACCGAGACTCCACTAAGGAGAATTGCAATTTTGGAGCCCTAGTAAGATGTTGTACATGAGACACAATTGTGATTTGAAACATTGAGCTTCTTGAAGAACTTATCTTTATGGAAACTGTGTATCATGCTGGCTGGCATACCACTACTCATAATATTAGTAAAAACGACTGTGATTGAAGTCAGTTTTAAGGAACCATAGTGGAAATATTTCCAGAAATACGTGAAAAAAAAAATACCTTGGCATTAAGTTAATCTTCATTTTTTGTTCTAATTTCTTTTTATAATGTTTTGAGTCTAAAATTGTGCCAGATACTGAATAACTGTCAAATCTGTATTTACAAAAAATAAAAAAAACTATGATATTTCTTTTTCTTTGCAGTGAAACATTGCTAGATTTTGAAACTATTGTTAAATTAGGAAACTTATAGTTAACTTTGGCATTCTCATTTGGGTCGTTTGGAGCCTGTGGAAATGATGAATTAAAGTGGTCAGACCACTTCATATAGGAATTTAGCACCATTTAGTTGTTTGTGGTTGAACCAGATGCCCAACAGATTTTTTTAGACCTACACATTTTCATTGCTTTCATTTCAAAGTCCAGGCTGCAATTTTGAATGGATAAGTAAAAGTATCATAAATACTGTGACAATAATAAACACATGTTCTTACTATGTTACGAGTGATATGACTTAACCTATTTGTATTCAATTGAGAGATGGGTCTCACTTTACCTTGTCCTACTTGCTCCAGCATATAGTGCATGTAGTGATTTTCTTGGTACACCAAAACATTGCAGATCTAGGTAAAATATTAATGGCCAAGGCCAAGGCAGGCGGATCACCTGAGGTCAGGAGTTCAAGACCAGCCTGGCCAATATGGTGAAACTCCATCTCTACAAAAATACAAAAATTAGCCAGGCATGATGGTGGGTGCCTGTAATTCCAGTTACTCGGGAGGCTGAGGTGGAAGAATCACTTGAACCCAGGAGGCGGAGGTTGCAGTGAGCTGAGATTGTGCCATTGCACTCCAGCCTGGGCTACAGAGCGAGATTCCATCTCAAAAAAAAAAAAAAAAATTAATGGCCATTATGTTTTTCTTTTTGTAGAGTATCTTATGTATAGTCCACTTATAGTTTGAGTAACTCTTGCTTTGTTTTATGCAGTTTGGTATTCCTATAATTGATCTGTACATGTTATATTAAAATGATTGCATATGAATTTTCCCTTTGGATCATGAAGAGCATATGATATGATATCAGATTTTTGATCTTCGATCTTTGTTCGGTATAATTAGTTATCAAAATGGAACTAACTAGTTTTAGATTATTGGAGCATTAGGAAATGGATGAACCACTAAATGTTTTCCTACAAAGCAGAGTAGTTCTAGGATGTGTGAAGAGAAGGGAAGACTGGGGCTCTATTCCTTGGAGGCACCTCCTTCCTAAGTATTTGTGGACCTATATAAGTGACCTACCTATGACTTGCTTTGTAAGGATGATATACATAATTAGATAATTTTTGCAAGCAGCTGGTCTTGGGAGCTAGGAAAAACAGAGCAATATAATCATCCTTATTATTAATATTTCATACCAAAATTGTTTAACTTTGAGGCTACTCGGGATTTTTGGACAGATAATACTATGCTTAAGTAAATTTTAAACTAACAGAAAGCAATCAAACTGATTCACTGTGCATAGTTGGTATCATTAAGTTGGAGAAGTAGAAAGAGTTCAGAGCTCAGTGTATTTAAACCTGGAATTAAATCATTCTTTTTTATTTAGAAAATCCCAGCCCATGTGGCCTTAAAAATATAATTTTATTTGTAAGAAAAAATAGTTATTTTTAAAGACTGCTTAAAATATATTTGTCATTTTATAATAAACGTCTCTGTAAATGGAAAAGTAGCCTGAGCTCCTGGAAATCAGCAGTTAGTTGCCATGGATTAGCTGCTGCTTCAAGTTTCCTAATCTATAATATAAACGGGTAAAATCAGGCAAATCAATTTCTAAGAACTTCATAACTTTGTACTATCAAAAACAAGCAACAAATACAATAATTTTTCTTAAAATGTGAGGTGGAAAGACCTTCAAGAAGACCTAGAGTCATTTGGTGGTTCAAGTTTGCCCAGACATTTTGATAGTAACAGGTCTCCTCTCCTGACCGGTGGTGCAATGGCCAATCTCCACACTCTGGTCAATATCTGTCAGTAACATAAAAATGTGACTGTTCTTGGATCCTGTATTTATTCACCAATATTAGGTCTGAGAGTGCCAGAACTGGCACTTAGTTAACGTATTGATGGAACACCAAGGAGAGAATAAAAATATACTGATGAGCACTCGGCACAAAAAGGATACAAGAATTTACTGAATAGTGAACAAATCAAGGAATGCTTAAAATAGCATTTATTATATTCATGTACTGAGGTTCAATTTTTGTAACCTGTCAAAAAACAAAAAAATGACAACCAAACAAGAAAAAATGTCTCTAATATAGACACTGGGCAGCATTATTTTAATACATACATATATGGGTACATTCTTTTTTGCTCATTAAGAACCACAGGGCCGGGGGCGGCAGCTCATGCCTGTAATCCCAGCACTTTGGGAAGCCGAGGCGGGCGGATCACGAGGTCAGGAGATTGAGACCATCCTGGCTCACACGGTGAAACCCCGTCTCTACTAAAAACACAAAAAAATTAGTCGGGCGTGGTGGCGGCTGCCTGTAGTCCCAGCTACTTGGGAGGCTGAGGCAGGAAAATGGCGTGAACCCAGGAGGTGGAGTTTGCAGTGAGCCAAGATTGTGCCGCTGCACTCCAGTCTGGGTGACAGAGTGAGACTCTGTCTCAAAAATAAATAAATAAACCACAAAATATATATTTTCTCTCTCTTCTCCCTGTGTGTGTATATGTGTATCTCTGTGTGTGTGTGCGTGTGTGTGTGTGTGTGAAAGAGAGAGAGACAGAGAGAGAGAATCAGACTGAGATTTAAAGCTTGGGGCTAGGTAATTTTTTTCTAAACAAATATCAAGTAAAGAATTGAACTCAAAATGATATACTGTATCTGCATAAAATGTGAGCCAGAGACCTACTGCCTAAAAAATGCTGCCTCATTTGCCGGGCGCGGTGGCTCAAGCCTGTAATCCCAGCACTTTGGGAGGCCGAGACGGGCGGATCACGAGGTCAGGAGATCGAGACCATCCTGGCGAACACGGTGAAACCCCGTCTCTACTAAAAATACAAAAAATTAGCCGGGCGAGGTGGCGGGCGCCTGTAGTCCCAGCTACTCGGGAGGCTGAGGCAGGAGAATGGCGTAAACCCGGGAGGCGGAGCTTGCAGTGAGCTGAGATCCGGCCACTGCACTCCAGCCTGGGAGACAGAGCGAGACTCCGTCTCAAAAAAAAAAAAAAATGCTGCCTCACTTGGAACCTAAAGCTAATATCATTCATTTATTTAGTTAGCTTTATAGTATGTTGGTTTTGGATTTGAAATGATTAGAAAAAATGCAGATGGAAAGTGTTTTTACAGTAGGGAAATAATAAAATTGGGTGTGGAGACTTTGTCAAGAGAAATCTTGAAGTGACATATGTGTATCAGCAAATTCTTTTTCTTGCTTGGCCTTAATTCTTTTGGGAAGAAATGCTTGGGCTGCAGAAGTAATGGTATATTGGGAAAAAGAGAATTTACAAACCCATGGAGTATAAATAAGGCACCAAACTATCTTCTTTGAAATAGGATTACATGTATATACTGTAAGGCAGACATTAGGGATAGTATTTTTTCCCTGTTTCCTAAAGCTGCTAAACTTGATGTCATGTGGAAAGGGATATGATGTGCTTTGTGTAAAATTTGACATTCCTTAAATGTTTTTCTTTTTCTGCCTTGCTATGTGTTGCTAACCAGGTCCAGGATGTACTATTGTTGGACTTTGTTCCTAAAACTAATGTTAAGCATAAAACGAATTTATGAGAAAAACAAAGTTAATATCCTTACCCTGAAATTAAGTTTGTTACTAGATAGACTATCTGTCTTAAAACATAAACTGAAATGATATTTTGCATTGATTTTTTTTCTGTATTCATGGTGAATTTATTTGTGCCAATTTGGGTCCCGTTTGACTCATCACCGAAAATACATGGTTCTTGTTTAATGTAATGAATAGCTCCTGGAAAAATGAATTTTACAGCAGAAGTTTCCATGAATCTTATTTTTTTAACTCCTCTACTTGCAGTTTTTATTTCTGATAATGAGGTGAGGAAATAATTTATCTCATTCTTGTATTGCATACTTTACAAATATCTTAGGGTGTCTCTGTGTTAAAGTAGTCCCTATAACACACAAATGATTTCTCTGTTGAATTTCTATTTCTGTTTCTCTTTGCTTTTTCTCTCTTGGGCCACTGACTAGCATTTTCATCAAGAAGAGATCAAAGACATAGGAAGGAAATAAAACTCAAAATAGGACATTTTTATTTTATACTTGTTTTGTTAATTAGGGAGTGAATGGAAATAGAAATTGTGGTGAAATTGGGCTGTGAAGTTACTTAACAGGAATTAAGCCAGCTCTTGTCCTTTAGTAGCTTTGTTTCATCCTGGCCACAGTGTCGCCAGTAGAATATAGTAAAGAGATCTAAGGATAATCTCAAAATATAGGAAGAACTTATGGTATGTATGAGCTAAGATGATAGTTTTTCCACATGGAGAATAACGAAAGATTCTGTGGGTAGTGGGGAGGATTGACTCTTCTCCACTTCATAAGTTAAAGAAATTGAGTCTGCTGAGAGCTTAATGATTACCTGAAATTAGCAATGGCCTTGGTCTGTGTCTTCTTGCCCTAGTCTTTACTAACTTTCCAATTATTAAAAGAAAGGCAAAATGACCTTCTGGTTTTTAAAGAAGCATTGGAATTAGTTTCAGTTTAATATGTAATATTTAAGTGGGCCTCAGGGAGTTTATCTATTCAATGTCTACATGCAACAGCTTAAAAAA